GATGCTAATTTCCCGTTGCATTCATCTTAAGCACTGTGAAATGCTTTTGTGTCTTTTGTGTTTCGCATTTATGCACCAAGCGCATCACATGTCTTTATACTATCACATATGTTTTCTGCTTGGCGATCGATTGAAATGTGACATGTAAATCACAACTAACGCCAGAAAATGTCAAAAGTCAAAACTCCCTCTAAATACGCTCTCCATGAGAAGCGGATGCAGATGTGAAGTAGCCTGAATGGTAACACCTCACTTTCGATGACAGTTATTTACAAAAATGCGCTCGTAATAGCACATGACATGTGTTACCTACGCCTATATCATTAGTAAAAAAAAGCGCAGCGGTGGAAAAAGGGTCTCAGAGAAGAGGTGTAATTTATCTCGGCAAGAATCAGAACGAAGTAAAGCGGTTACCCGTTGATGACCAAATCACTCGCAAACTCCACTGCGACCAGTTTGCCGGACACATCGACTGGATTATCTTCATCCGGTAGTGGCAGTCCAACAACAGCAATTTTGCGAGCTTCCGTTTTTGGCGCCTTCTCAAAAATCGTAACTGTTACTGACCGTGGAATTTCTTGCACCTGAAATAAAAAACTGAAAAATGATGTGGCCGGATATTCAATTTCCTCATCCTTTCTCATTTCAGTATCAAATTGACATATTTTATATCTTTGTACAGGATGCTGATTTCTGCTTTCAAATCCGGTTTTTCAAGACTGGATTTTTGGCTTAAATAACAAAAAAAAAGAAGAAATTGCCTTTCTACTTATACTTTTGCATATACTTTGAGATCTACCGTTTCTGATTATCCATTATTTTGATTCACACAGTGAATTTTTTTTCAAAAAAAAAAAAACTGTTTTGTAATTTTTTCGACTTTACAGAGCTGCTCTGGCCACCAACTTACTTTCAAGCGGCCCCTTAAAAGAAAGAGCCATCGACAGCCTTGTCGGCTAATGATTGCTGTTGATGCTTGCTACTTTTGGAATACTTCCAAGTGCTACTCCTTTCAGAAAAAGTGAGTTAGTTTCGACTTGTGGTTGCGGTACTACTACGAGATCGCAGGTTACAGTTTTACTTGAACAGTATTAGACGGATTTCAAAATTACCCTAAATTTGATATGGGGGTCATATGTTAGTGCGGATTTCAAAAACTGCCCTGTTAGGAATAAGATCGTAAAACAGTCCAAATCTCACAACCACCCTGAATTGAAGTTGAGGTCAGAAGACAGCGATTTCGATTTCCTAGGAGGCTAGGAGGTTAGTTTATAGGCCTACCTGTAAATTATAAATTTGCGCGAAATGCGCCTCGAATTGGTTGTCGAGCGGTCGAAGCAGCGTTCGGCACACAACAATATCGTTGAATTCAATCTGCAGCTGTATTCGGCATTTTTGCACATAGCTCATTCGTTCGCTCTCACTTTTTGGCAATTTCTCACGATCCGATGTAGCATCGGTCTCAGCAGTGCTGCTGCTCAGTACGTAAACCGGGATATCGCGAAGCTCATCAAATACTTCTGGTTTATCCGAAATTTCCGCTAAAGTGCTGTCGGGCTGCCTCCTGGAACGGAATAATTTTTTCGTGATTTCTGAAGTATTAAAAAAGGTTAGGTTTCGTTATAAAATATTTTAGCTCGCCATAAAATTTTCCATTTTACTAGCTCGTATCTACAAGGAATCCTAACGAGAAGCCGATAGCACTCATATAAGCTGCTGTACTTTTTAAAAATTGTGCGAATGAAACTGGTTTTACAGGAACATGGTCACTGACGAAAGCAGTAGAATGAGCATTAATATGAAGGCAGATATTGAACAAAAAGGAGTATGCAGGAAACGTA